TCCTTAAAAAGTTATGGGGGCCCGAATTCGCGTTTCCAATTGATACTACTGTCGAGCAAAATTCGGGCCCCCATAACTTTTTAAGGAGAACCATTTTGCAGATTTAATTTCCATTTTCGTAAACAGCATTCAAAACCCTATCGATCTATCTGGGTCTGAATTCAAAGTTCCAAGATAAGTAGAGTACCCCTCCCTGGTTAGAGAGGCCCTTTCCCAGCGTATAATGGGGTCACACATCATGATTGCGTTGAAATTCAGATGTCATAATGCCAGCAGCTTCTGAAGAAATATGAAAGAGCTCGCCTCAGACTCGACCTTCACGTAGAACAACGTATAATGACTGAATATGAAATGATCCTAAATGATTACATGTGATCTCTGGTGATTTTTATATCCTTGTAAGCTATCAACCTTATATGACGGTTGGCCGATTTATCCTTCTCTTATCCCTATTTCGTACGACGGGAGCGGTATCAATCCAATGAGCTGGTGTAATTAAGGTGGAAGCTTATTACGGTGACACACACACTCTTGCCGGACCTGAAGTAGGACCTACTAAGACCTTGAAGTTGTGAGGGAACTGAGGGGATAGGTAAGCTGTGAGTTTCGTGGGTGAGTCATAGTCCATTTTTAGGCAATAGAATTGTTGACTTTATTGAACTGAGGCTGAAATTAACAAACTAATGGGTATTTGTTGGAAATTTTTCATCCCCGGATCATCTCTTCGCTCACGTTCTCAAATAATAGCAGGTGCACTTGTCAATGTATTCCTCAAACACTTTTATCTCAATGAGCACCCTATGTAATCGTCATCTAGCGCTTGATAAAGTTATGCTGACCAGGCAATTTTCTCATGAATAGTCGTGACAGAAAGAACCCTAGTACTAGTTACAGCAAGTCGAACCATTGAATTACATGCTGTCCATATTAATCTCCTACAAGGAATATAAAGTTGTACGTTCTCCCCTTTTTGTCGTCATACCGTGTATTTTCATAGTACTCATCGGAACTCGATTCGATTGTCGTAGTCCTAGTCATCTTACCTCATGGTACGGTCGTAAACCACTTCGTCAAAGCTCTTTCACCTGAGCTTTCTTATCTTTATTCTTGTTTCGAATGAATATTCCGAATTTCGGGTTGCCTACTCAAACCCGTCTAGCATTTAAACCTCTGAGAACATCAAATTTCCCAGTCACCTATTCCATGCAAAAATTGGGTAGTAACTCAATTTAACCCATTGACGACCGCGCCTTTTATACTGTCCTCACATTAACTTTTAATTTTTCTTATAACTGTAGTTGGAAATGAATGAGTTCTGAACCACAATGCCTCGAGATTCTCTAGAAGGCTGTGAGCTCAGCTGATATTCGAAAACATGAAAAAAGTAATAAGAACATTTGATAAATAAGATAAATACAATACTACAGGAGCGCAATATGGTGTGTCCCGCTGGCGGGCCACACTTCGTCAATGGGTCAAGTGCTTCAAAATAAACGCCTAGAGTTACAGGATGTTCTCTTTTTTTATGTGCGAACAGCATGGATCGGGGATTTGCTACGTCTCAGAATTCTTTCGCTGGTAAATTCCGCTGCCGATATTCAGAAGATCACCAATGCAATTCAATTTTTATGAATTTCTTGTATGAATACCCACCCTGAATCGACCGAGCCTTCCATCTTATTGGTACCAGTCACGACTGTGAGGATAAAAAATTGGCTGGGACATTGGTGTCTGCTAGTCATTGTATGCCTTGCGTGCCAGCTTCACAACGCCAGCACGATTCTGAGTGGAAGTCGAGTACTGGGCATATCCCAAAAACACGATTGGTCAACACCCAAAGATTCTATTTTTATATTGTGCACATGAGAACATCAATTGGAAGGGGATTAGCAGAAGAGCTACTATTTTCAGGAAGTGGCCATTCTATCGTTCTTAATGAGCAATGGGAGTGATGTTCAAAATCTAACTGATATAAGCCTACCTTCGACTAACTCCACAGATGGTGATATTGATAGAGCAGTTGTTTTGACAACTCTTATCACAGTCAGTCTAATCTCGATTATCATGCATATACTCTTCCTCAAGGTTAGTTTGAAATGCAGAAAGATTCTCATTTTTTCTACTGTATAGGTAAACTTACGTTTTTTAACTAGAGCTAAATTAGTTAGAAAATTTGATGGCAACAAAATTTTGATGTCATAAAATTACGGAGGAACCTTGTTGTTGACTGGAGACAAAGTCTTTCAGGCAATCCGATCATATTGCTCATGGGATTCTGGATTTTCATTTACATTACTATTTCTTATCTCCTTCAATGCATTGCTCTATTTTCTTGGGCAACTTATCGCCCTATTAATAGCAAGCTCAAACCTTGATGAGGACCATTACCATAGGGTCTATAGAGTAAGAACTTGTATTTCCAACTGATGAGGTGAATGTGTTGACTAATTCTATTCGCAGATACTTGGAACTCTACTTCTTATTCCATATTTCATTATGGTAGCTCTGCACGTTTTTTTGGCTTTACATCGCTTCTTCTACACTGTGCTTCCAGTACAGGCAAAGAGATTACTTCGCAGACCTATACTGAAGGTAATTAGTAGTAATAATATATACAACATCTTATAATGAGGTGCCAAAGTGAACAGTGGAGATGAACCTCCTGCTTTAAACCCCTTCCTTTTTTCCAAAGTGGTCGGTGGTCCTTTTCTCCCATTATCAATGATTTCAAGTTAAATACGTAGTAGACTTCGCCTGATTCCATAGCACGTCACTATAGTAGCAGTAATCACCTCTGTTCCATCATCATGTGATTTTTGAAAGAAACCACAGTATCAGAAGGATCAGAAGGTAAGTGGTCTAGACAAGAATAAGAGCAAACGTATGCATGTAAGTACGTATGGGTTTTCCAGGATTTCTGATGCCGAAATTCAAAGGATTTCTTGGGCCAAATCCTCTGGCTGTCCTCGCTAGTCAATATGATCAGTTTCCAGCTGAAACATCAAAATGCTACTTTTGAGAGACCTTAGTTCGATTTCCATTTCAATAACCAACCGCGGTGCTGTCTGCAGGACAGCTCCTCCTTCCTAGCTTCAGTCCTTAGATACAAGGTCGTCCAGCAGTTGTGCCAAAATGTTATAGCTTCATTAGTACTAAGGAATGGTCACTCTGCTCGCAAAATTTTAGCCCCTATGCCTTCATTATACTTATCGAGAAGTCATCTCGTGAGTTGATCGTCCCAGTTTGAGTACTTGAAAACAGCCCTGAGTAGGAACATCGAGCCTTTTTCCACGTCTGCATAGGATATACATATCGATGCTGGATTGTAGTTTGTTGTTGCGCAGATCAGTATCAGTTCCCTCAAGAGCCTTTGGAATAGTCCCATTCATAGGTTGTCGCGAATCTTATTACGGATTGCGATTATTGCGGACTTTCCCATGTATTGTACTCCTAGTACTCCTGAGTTCTTGTCCTGCTTATTGATTTGCTTCTTCTTGTCCAGCGACGACTTAGGACCGCAACTGGATTGATCTTGAAGGCTTCATTTTCGCAAGCAAAATTCGGTAACCAAAGGTGTACGGTTCTTCCTGAAGCTGCATCCTCTCCTCAAACACGGCCGACGTTGTGGGTAGCTTTGACTGCAGAGCGGTCCAATCCATATAGAATTTGATAAACGTAGATACGCAAATGTTCAGTGGTTTACTAAGAAAAGCTCGCATTTGACAGCGGACGAAAAGACGTTCTAAATGACATACGAACAGCTTGATGGATCCCTTGCGCACTTATAGAAAGCTCACGAGAGAAATGTTGTGGAATGGAATCCGCAATTATTGTTGTGACAGTCCAACAGATTCTTCCAAGAGCTCTTCTTCTACTCCTCCCAAGGTTGGCCTCGCGTTGTCGCAGAGACAGCTAAAAGATTATTTTGAATAATTCTCACTTTCTCTGATTTCTCTGCCTTGCATCGAAATCCCTTTCATCTGAGCTCTTTTTTCAGGGATGCATAACCTTTCTGATCTTTTATTATATTACTTTGTTCGTACTCACTCAAAGTGACTATATGGGAACCATATTTGATCCGGAATATCTTTTTAACTTTGTGCTGGATTTACCATATGCTCGTGTTCTGGTAATGTAAGTTTTTCAGATTATTATTCACGATTTATGTGTTCAAAACAGTAGATCAGCAGGATACGGCGGTATGTGTAAGTAGGAAAAAGCCTTGGCCTCAAAAAGGCATTGATTTACATATTTGAGGCGCGAATTTATCCAAGGACTGAGCAAAACTTCTTCCTATAGCTGGGTATTTGGTGTCGGGATGTGCTGTGATACTGTGTGCAATACTGTTGAAGCCCAATGGGGTGAGCCGTAGATGGAAAGAATAGTCAGATAGATAGAATAAAGAAGAATATAGGCCAGCTCCTTTTCAAAAACCACATCTGGGTCCATCGCCCTCTNGACAGAGGAAGAGGTCCGTCGGACAATCGGGAGGATGAGGGTTGGAAAGGCAACTGCTTCAGATAAAGTACCAATTGAAGCATGGAAGTCGCTCAGAGAATATTGGACTGGGTGGTTCACGTGATTCCTGAACACCGAGTAAATAATGAATGCTGAAGGAATTATCCCGGATGCGTGCAGGAGCAGTACTATGGTTCCATCTTTGAACAGCGGAGCGATGCGATGAACTGTTCCAAGTTCAGTGGAATCAGGCAAACTGCCCACATTATGAAACTGTACGAGTGGTGTGGTTAATCAACTCATGGTAGAGGGGGCTGGCCTCGATTCCACAGAAGCAATACGGCTTTATACTACAAAGCTCTACACCGGGAGCCATTTTCGAAAGTGGGGGAGAAGTATCTAGGAAAGGGTGACCTTGCTACCTAGCCTTCCTCGACCTGGAGAAGGCACTCGTCCATCTACCGGACAGGTCTCTGGAGAGCGCTCCAAAATCGAAACGTTCCGGACAGCTGATCTCTTTGATCAAGGACATGTACGATTTGTCCGAAGCAAACATCTACACTGCGGCCTAACAAGGGCCATAGACTTCATGGCTGTGGTACATCAAGGATAGGCCCTGAGTCCCGTTCTTCTTCCTACTATCATTGGATATCATCACGAAAAACTCCAAAATGAATCGCCAACACCATACTCTACGCAGAAAGCATTGTTCCGATGGCGGAGATTAAGAAAAAAAAACACAGGACAAGCTACAGAACTGGCAGAAAATTCTGGCGAAGAATGGGCTACGATCGAACGTGGAAAAGACCAAATTCCTCAGATCGGAGAACTGAGCAGAACTAAACATAGATTATCTGGAGGAAGTCATTGGAAGAATGCGGGACTTCCCTTATCTCGAGAGCGACGTATCTGCTGACGGAAGTGTGAAACAGGCTGTAAAGGCGCGAACAAAGAGAGAGAGAGAGGAGAGGGTCCATCTGTATCCTCTGAGACCCGTATTCGCGCCTTCGCAGCCTGGTCGGTGCTCCAGGACTCTCGAAGGAAACCGTCAATGCTCTAAGGCAGCGAATGCTGGCCAGTTGGCAAAATTCACGGAGGCAACTTTGCTCAGCAGAGATGTGGATGTTGAGATGGGCCTGCTGTTGGACCCGGATGGACTGGAACAGAAACGAGGTTCAGAGCGGTCATGCAAGTAGCCCCTGTACGGCTGAAGATAAGAGAACAGCCCCGCGATAGTAAAAGCACGTACTGAGAAGGCCATCAGATCAACCACTAAGTAGGACGATGGAGCTCGATGCTGAAGTGAAGCGCCAGGTGCAGCCTCAAAGAAAAGGTGACGGGACGTAATCAAGAGAAACCTCGTCGAAATGAACCCCAAGACAAAAGATGTCGCATAATGAAAGAGATGGAGACAGTTCATAGGAACCGCGGACCCTGCTACGGCCCGTGGAAACGCTAGGGAAAAGATGAGGATTTGTCGCGATACTGATTCGAGCAAAAAAGGCCCACCTTCCCGAAACCACTTTCCCTCAAAAGCACCAGCCAGTAGCCATTCTATTACACTGTGGCGGCAGTATTCCTGAATAGAGGCCAAATGCCTTCCACGCGGCCATCAACGTGGAGCGTCTCAATACCCTTCCTTGTGTATTCCATCGAGTCTTCCATTCTTGCAAGGTCGCTATGTTGGGATAAGCTTGAACTTGAGGGCTGAAAACTCTCCTGTCACACCTCCCGGCACTCGTTAACCAACCGTGAAGTGTTCATCAGATTGTGTGAAATACACTGTTATCTAGCTATTCTCATAAAGCCTCCAACCACTCAAATTCTACAGTTGTATTCCAGCATGGATACTGTCAGCACCTATGCCAATTTAATTATAAACATCCCTGTATATGTCTCGATTTTTGTAATTCTATATATTCGAAAAAATATATCCTGCCGTACGAGTAATGAAATACAAATGACTGCACAGGTGACTGACTTGGCAATGGTTATGACTGTATTCATTCAATTCATGCTCAAGAAAAGCTTAAGACTTCCTTTATGGTGGCACTGGAACTGTTCTTTTCCTACTTCTGGAGCTTTTTCAATCGTGATCTTACCGAAATGGAAGGTTTATTGGCTCAAGTAACGACTATGCTCTATTTTGATTCCGTAATTGTGCCGTATGTAATTTTTAATAGGTAAATTAACCATTTTACTTTTTCTTCAACAGCTTTTATTTAGTGATTGTTTTGTTCCAGAAATGTTAGACAGAACGTATTCCTGTGTTGGAAAAAGAGGGCATCTCGAGTTAGGAATGAAATCCGGGTAGTACCTCGTAGATCGATGATTACCAGTTTTTCTCATATTCGTCACTCATGAGAAAGACATTTCGTTGTTCAGTACTCGGAATCGTAGATGGTGTCATTGTCAATGAATTTGGTCATATCATCTGTATATAGCCAGCAATATGTTAATAGTTATGTACAAAGTGATGTATCGACATTTTTTACATCTTGAAACCATAAATTACAAAGTTTAACTAGTATTTGGGCATAATCGCCATTGAAATCTGTTTTTGGACCGGTTCCTGTTCTTCTTGAGACTTGCTCTTAGCAATTTTGCTTCATCGTATCGTCATACGTTGTCTCCATCAACATTACGTTCCCATTTCATCAGAATCAGATTTTCCAGCAGACGGACAGGCACACAATGAAGCTAGCGAGGGGGCAAGCAGTATCACATGTTGATGCTGAATGTTGAAGAAATTTATCACGAATTAAAGCTATCTGCTTATATTCTGTCCAATAAATAGCCCGTGTAATACCGTAATCTTTCCTGGGTTTTTCAATCCAATGGATGGTCTTGTCATAGCTGTAACAGAAGTTCTCGTTGGACTATGTACGTATTGATCAAGCAAGTGGAACTCTTCACAATGGAATTTACCCAAATGAGCTCCATGTGCTCCCTGAATTTTCCATGGTAGCAAAGCCCGACCATCTCGGAAAATCTGGTAAGTTGGAAGGTCGACAAGGAAATGTGCTTACAAAGCCCAGTGGATAGACATTCAACGTTTTCTTGACCAGATTCCAACTTCTACCAGCTCCCAGGCATGACCTTTGAAACATGAGCTGCATGAATACTTGCTCTTGAAGTTTCAGTTTCCATTCTCATCGGTTATGAAGGAGTTTGTGTGTTCAAAATGATAGTGAGAATGCAGCAAATAAAATGGATTTCATCTCCACATGCAGCAAATTGCCAACTCCATTGTGAAAATGCTGTGATGGAGCCTCAGATGAGGAAGCACGGTAGAAGCGAGAGCAAAAATGATGTTTTGATGATGTTTCAGCTATTCCTAGGTCAACAACGCGTTTAATATTCACTGCCACTTATCGCTATTCAGACCTCCCCTTTCTCCAAAGTCACATTAAACATTTGTCTATCCCCTCTGCCTGAATGATTTTTTAGTGATAAGAGCAGCATGCGATACGGTACAAATTTTGTCCGATGGCCGGCGGCATGATCGGAAAAATCAAACACACCATCACATCCAGAATCCAAACCCTTGACGTCGCAGACATGGGCCGGAGAGCTTATCCGCTACGGTGCAATCACATATTTAAAATGCAGCACTCCGACCAAACAGAAAATCACGGAGGATGTGGATTGCCATGGCAAGCCCGGCTTGTCGAAGTACCCGGCGCCGATGGCCGGCGGGGACTT